TAGAGATGGAAAGAAATTACCAATTGCTAAGTACCACTATATAGCAATCTAGATTACCAAAAAATATTAAAGTATATTGGTTACTATTTTATTCGGTAAGGTATTGGTACCGTACAATAAATGGTTGGTACAATAATGATATTGCATTCTCAATACCATGGTAATATTGTGCCATAGCATACCTACTATTATAGTATATTTTGTAAAAAAAAAAATCATTTATTTTATATACCATAATATTGATAACTTTATTCAAAGAAAAATATTTCTAGCATTTATTTAGTGCATGTAAGTTTTCTTATATTTTCACAAATTAAATGTACTTTTTTTTTTCTAATATATATATATATATATATATATATATATATATATATATATATATATATATATATATATATATATATATATATATATATATATATGTGAACAGAGATCACACATATATGAATAAATTTACGCTACCTGACGACATAAAATTAGTGTATAATGTGTAGCTCAATAAAAATATGTATACATTCAAATAATATACACATATATATGACGGATCTCTGTGGCAAGAAAATTGAAAGATTTTCTTGTTTTCTCACCCTTTTATATACAAAATAATAGTAGAGTACCATATATCACGATATCGTATTAAAAAACAACGGTATACCAAATTTTATGTACGATAATAGTATGAAATTTGTGATTAGTATAAGTTAGGATTAGTGTACGATAATTGTAAAAAAACTTGGGTATCCCTATCAATGCCACCATATATCACTTGGAAACACACAGGTCGGCTAGCTAATAACCGTAGGGTCCCTTGTACACCTAACATATGCATTTGTTTTCATTACATTGCATGTGGATTGTGCAGGGTACAACTAAACATTAATTGGCTCAAGAACTCAACATTATTTTAATTTACTATATATATTTATTATTTACTGTTTCTAAAGTAAAAAAAAAAAAAAAAACTATCATCATTTATGTAAATATCTCTTTTAGTGATCTCAAATAGTACAATGTCATGGAATTATATTTATTTAATTAATTTGGTGCTCTTGTTCCCCCGGCTCTTTCTTTACCCTTGAATTATAGGTTACATATATAGTTGAAATTTCTGTTCTCAACCTATTATTTCCAAAAAAAATAAAAATGAAATTCTATAGCAAATTACAAAATATATACAAGAATGTAAATATTTGTAACCATGATGTATAAAAAGAATTGTCAGGAATATTATACACTTAGATGATCCAATGATTTCGTATTACATGTAAGATTCTGAATGGATAATAGCAATTATTAATAAACTGATAGATCGACATTGGATACCAAATTAAAAAAAAAATTAATTAATAATAATTCAGTATTAATTAGAAAGGAAAAAATCAACTGTGTTCATCATCATACATTTATTATGTCAAAAACAGTAGAGATCTCGATCTTTACTATTAGAAGCTGCAATACATACACGACGAGCATCTATATATAAACTTTATTATTTAAATAAAAAAGAAAAGAAAAAAGAAAGACTTACATTTATTTCTATACAAATCCGGCCACTAATAGTAAGTAAGTAGTAATATCTCCAATAATATTCATTTAATTTAATTTATAAGTTTTACCTGGAAGAAACAGGAGGAGTAGTGTTGAAAGTAGCTCTAGCAAAACCATTAATGGCAGCATAGCTCTTTGAATTGAAACCCAAACATCCAAAGAGTCCTTGTCTGTACGGTAAGAATGTTTTCTTCCTCATCTCCTCCGCCTGCGCCCTCTTCGCATTATAATGCACTTCGTGTGCCGATGGCGGCACCACCCCGGCTCTTCGTTTACTTTTAAGACTTGTCTTTGTATTAATTTGCTGTTTAGTCTTTGTCGCTGGCGCCGTCATTTTTTTATCCTTGACAACAGGTGAAAAAGATGATAAAGATCCCCAAAATTTGTGTCCATCGTTTCTTCCTTCGCTCTTGCTTCTGTAAAGAAACTCCTTCAAGAACACCCACCTCTTCGAACTCGATGACCTGGAAGCGCACGCCGCCGCCGTTTCGCTGGTTGTTCCGGCCTTTTCTTCTTCCTCCTCCTCCAAATTGTTGGCGTCGGCGTCGGCGTCGGTCCTTGGTGATTTACCATCATCGTCATCATCTGTATTGGCTATATTTTTGCAATCGTCGTCTGTATCCCGGTGAAACGGCGTCGTAGTGCTCCTCATTGGCGACATGGATCTGGCCCTCCGCCGCAGAGATCCGGATCGGAACTTCAACTCTCTCCCGCGGCCGAAGGTTTGATCCTCCGATACGTCGTCGTCGGAGGATTCGATCAAAGGGTCGAGCAGCTGAGGCCGCCGGAGGTGACTGGACAGTTTCATTGGCCGGATCTGGCCGTTACAAAATAACTCGTCGGCGGAGGTCATTGATTCCGGGGAGGCGCAGCCGGAGGAAGGCAGCGTGGCGGAGAAATCGAAATCGAAGGAACCACTAGCGTCTGTGGAGGCGGAGGCGGAGGAAGAAGTATAATTAGTTGCAGCAGAGAGCATAAAATGCATGGGGCTGGCGGGGGCACTATAGTAATATCCAGAAAGAGGGGCGTCGCGGCCAGGGCTGGAAGGGGCACTCACGTACGGAGTGGAACAGCAGCTGTCTATCTCGTCAGTATATTCTTGCGCCGCGGCGGTGGTGGTGGTGGCGGGATTTTCGAGCTCCTTTCCCATTTTCTTTTTTTTTTTTTTTTTTTTTTCGTTATTGGTTTTTGTGAGAACAACGCATACACTACCTACTAGAAATGGGGTAATATTTATTTATAGGAAAAATAGATCTGTCGAGCAAGTGGGGTAATGCATGTGGGGATTTATTATTTATATACGGATTCTCCACGACCTAAGTTACACTATCAAATACATCGGATTAATATTACATATAGGTCCCTGTAAATGAACCATAACTAACTTGGAGCAAAGATTAATATTTTCATTAGATATAGGTCCCTCAATTTAGTATTTTTCATTCTATAAATACATTGACGAGTTTATAAGAATGTTGTGTCCATTTTACTTTCTTCTTAAAACCAATGTGGTCATAACCGGACCGACTATGGAATCGAACGACTATTTGGGTGATGATTTTACAAGATCGAACCGGTTCAACTGGGTTTTTAATTCTTTTAGTGTCATTATTTTTTAAATTTTAATATTTTAAAAATATAATTTTCTTTACATTTTTAATCTCCAACCTATTATTTAAGTTTCATATACCTCAACCCACTTTTACAATATTTCTTTTGCTTATACTCTATATTTTCCCATTTTTTATTCTTCAAATCAGGCAATCGACGACCCATATTCGATCACCTATAACCATATCCGGCAATCCTTCGACCATTCATGACTAGATCCGACCACCCACCACTAAGCTCGTGAAGGTTCGCTCAAACCTAGCCACAAATAACCAACTTAGCGGTGGTTTGAGACGTTTGGTCAAAAACCAGGTTCCTTAACTGACTCGCCGATTCTCGGGTTTTACCCGGTCGAACCAGATTTTGATCATTTGACCCCAGTATTTAGATTTTTGGTTTTAAAGGTTAGACCGGACCGCTTCATTGCCGGTCGAACCCGTCCGACCGGCCGGTTCGGTCCGGTTCTAACAAAATTGCTTAAAACCTACCGTTAATCGAATATCCAAACCCTTTGCGCAACACTAAAACTACGCTTTTGTGAAACACATGTTCCCATTCTCTTATTATTTGTCTCTATAGGAGAAATAGAGTTGGAGAAAGAGAGAATTGTGTCTCTCACGTATATTAATCATATATATAGTTACATGTAGGAAACCCTAACCTATTACACAAGGTAACCTATTATACAAGGTAACTATAATAAATAATAATAATAATATACGTAATACATATAATGTATACGCTAATACACCCCCGGCCCGCAGTCGAAACGGGAAAGGAGAGGACGTGGAGACTGGAGACAAACTGTTAGAACAGTTGAGTAGGGAGTCCTTTCGTGAAGATATCGGCAAACTGGTAGGCGGATGGGACGTGAAGAACTCGAACGTGTCCCAAAGCAACTTTGTCTCGGACAAAGTGGATATCGATCTCCACATGTTTCGTACGAGAGTGTTGAATAGGATTGCTGGATAGGTAGACGGCACTGACGTTGTCACAGTAGACAATAGTGGCTTTCGAAAGTGGGCAGAGCAACTCAGAAAGTAGGTTGCGTAACCAAGTCGTTTCGGTGACGGCGTTTGCGACAGCTCGATATTCAGCCTCCGCACTAGATCGAGAAGTAGTGACCTGTCATTTGGAGGACCAAGAGATGAGGTTGTTGCCGAGGAAAACACAATAGCCCGATGTCGAACGACGAGTGTCAGGACAGCCACCCCAATCGGTGTCGGAGTAAGCGATAAGAGAGAGGTCCGGATTGGGGGAGAGGAGAAGGCCGTGGTCGAGAGTGCCACGAATGTAGCGAAGGATACGCTTGAGAGCAGCCATATGAGGTTCCCTCGGATCATGCATGAATAGACATATTTGTTGCACAGCATAGCAGATGTCGGGACGGGTAAACGTGAGGTATTGCAGTTCACCGACATATTCTCGGTTAATAATGTTGACTTTTTTATTTTTCTTGATTTTTTTTAACTTTTTCCTGTGACTTTTTTTTTTCCGACCAACATAATATGTATTGTATAACACAATAATAATACTATATTAATATCTAGTATCGTAATATTAAAATTACAAACTTCTAGTAAAGTTTTTATCTAAAATTTTGGGGCCTAAATACAATTTTAAGAAATTCTAAAATCCATAATTTCTTCCCGTCAATTTTTTTTCGTGGAACCGCTAGTGCATGCCAAATTTCTTCCCAAAAAAATATGAAGAAGATGAATTAGGCATATGCGGAGTAATTTGGAAATGAGATAATTAACCACTCTAGTACAACGGTTTTTTGGTCTAACACCGGCCGTTAATTTTTATCTTTTTTTTTGTCTTACATTTTTTCCGTCATTGAGTTCCGTTGACTTTTTCTTTCTTTTTTTATTTTGACTTCTTTTATGATATTATTTTTCTTGCCGATTATCAACTTTGACTTTTTTTTTTAAATTATATTTTTACCACTACTCAACAATTTAAATAAAACTCAAGAAAGAAAATTAATGTCAACGTTGTTCACCCGACATTCAACATCGGTCAACAACGGCAAAAAAAAGATCAATCGAAAAAAGAGTCAACCGAGTTAAAAATAAAGTCAATGTCGGATTACCCGATTTCAAAAAATTTGGGTCATTGGTTAAAATTGGTTAATTGATGAAATTGGGGTTAAATTATGGTTGGATAAAATTTTAGGGATTTTTAGAATATTTTGAAAGAATACAGGGGTCTTATTGCAATTTTGTCAAAGAAAAACCCCAAATTCAACCAATGTCCGTTACATCTTAACAGTCAAAGAGACGGATGGACTAAATGTGTTAAAATGTGACAACATTAGTGTGTATTTTGTCGACGGCGGTAAATGGGGGACCAAAAGTGAAAAACGTGCAAACTTGAGGGACCAAAACTGCAATTATCCCTCCCAAAACCGCCAAACCTCACAAGAACTCACAACAACTAACAAATATTATCACAAATCCTCTCAAATCCGAAAATCTCATCAAATTTGAAGGTAATTTCTTCTCTATATTACTTACATGTCAATTATAGTTAGTTTATTTCATTAATTACATGTTCCCTAAATTCTAGGATTTTTTGTTTTTTTGAGTTACGCAGTGGGTATGGGAATACCAACTGATAAAATTCGGGAATTTTTATGGGGTGGGAATAGGGATTTTCAGAGCAGGGCAGAGACGGGGATTGCAAAACCCGCCCCACCCGCCCCAATGCCATTCCTACCCCTATGTGTATTACACAAGGTTGGGATACAATCCCAACCTATTATTTTCACTTGTGATTCTCAAAATTTCTCTTTTTTTCTTCTTAATTATTGCTTTAAATTTTCTAGATACAATCCCAGTCTTATAAAAAAAATGCACGTGGGATATACAATAGAATATCGGAGGTCTTATAAAAACTTACTCTTTGATTCCAAAACATTGGGGGATGGTGTCGATTGCTTCGTTCGTGTTCTTCGTGGACAAACTCAAGACTTTATCAAGTCTATGTTTGGGATGAGATCCGGATCCCAAACTAAGTTCTATTATTTAATATGTGATTAAATTTGTTCTCTCATAACTTATGTATACTATAAAATTATAAACGATTAAATAAAAAACTAAATTTTAATTCGATTTTCTCACTGGCTCCTGGGACTCATATCCAAATAGTTAGTTCCTTCATTCTATTTTGGGTTACTCCCCTCCTTCTGATTAGTCTCAACTTTAGATTTTGGACTTCCTGTTCTACCTCTGTTTTGATAACTCCTGTAGCCTTATTGCGTTTTTATTTAGGCAATGGATATATATATTTTTCTGATGATAATTTTTTGTAAGTTTGCTATCAATCTAACGGTTTCCTTTATTTTCTATCTAGGCCATTTTTTGGGTCGTTGACACTTTTCATGACTCATGTTTCTTTTTTTTTTTTTTTTTTTTTTTTTTTGAGATAAAACATTGGACTATATTAATCTTCAGCTTCAAAGTTTACAATATTTTGAATCACCAAAGGGAGATTCGGCAAAAGATTTGGACCCTTAAGTGAAAGTCGAGCTACTTCATGTGCAACTTGATTCCCTTTTCTATTAATATGCCTAGCAGAGAACCCATCAAACCAGCCCTTAGCAACAAGAATATCTGCAATGATAGCCCCATGCATTGATCGATCTTCTGTGGCGCCATTAATCGATGATATTACAGTACTTGAGTCACCTTCAACAATAATTTTTCGCCAACCTTTCTCTCGTGCAAAGATCATCGCATAATATGCAGCCTTAGCTTCCGCCGACGTTGGATCAAGACTTTGCAACAGGAAATGTGACGACCAACCTACGCATTCTCCCGTATGAGACCTCGCCATTATTCCGATACCCACACTTCCAAGCGCAACGTTAACTGATGCATCAAAATTCAGCTTAATCACTTCCGGCTCAGGGCATCTCCATTTGGGAATCGGATTGGATCTAGTCACATTAAGGACTCTTGCAACAGGATTATTCAACATCTCAACGTAATGCCGAACGAAAGTAACAACTTCCATTGCTTCCACTACCACTACTTCATGAAGTTTTTTATTTCGAAACGACCATAACGCCCAACAAATCAAGATGCAATTGCGGAATTGACCGTCATCCGTCGACCTCCTCATATAAAGAATCCATTCCTTCACCGTTGTACCTACCCAATTATGCACCTTCATCGGGATGTTACTTAACGCCCAAACTTGTCTCGAGAAGGAGCAAAAAGCCAAGCAATGGGATAAATCTTCACCAACTGTAGTACACGTCGCACACAAGTCATCCGACATAATTTTTCGTTTCCTTAAGTTATCTTTTGTAGGAAGCAGGTTATTGCATGCACGCCATGCAAAAATCTTGATTTTAGTAGGGAGCTGCATTTCCCAAAGCCACTTCCAGCTACAACCATCGTTTCCGGAAGAGCTACTAGATGCTGGATTTCGGTTCGTCTCCTCTTCTCGATATGCAATATGGTATGCACTACGAACCGAAAATCGTCCATTTTTGTTATAATGCCAAACTAATACATCTTCATTTTCGTCCCTCCCAAGTGGAATAGACAAAATTTTCTTCCAGTCCTCTTCAACAAAGTGCTCTT